TACATTTTTAGATTTTTTCATTATGTATTATATTAATAAGTAATATACTAATAAGTAATAAACTTTTCATAAATATATAATACATGTATATATTATATATTTTTGCCTATTTCACATTTTTTTATGCATATTTTATCATTTTTCTGTACATATTTTGCCTTTTTTGGATCCTATAAATTTTGAAAGTTAGTGATAACCTAATGAAGCGCAAAAATATTGATAAATATTGCGAAAATGCGAAATACTTAATTAATAATTAAATTATTCACAATATCTTAAAGATTGGAAACAAATATCCATTAACCAATAGCAACCTACAAATTACAATATACAAAAATATTTAATACTTAATATATTTTTTAGTGGAAAGATGGTGAAACTATTTTACTTATTATAGTATTTTTACCTAACCTATACTCTTTCGTTTAAAAATAAAATCAAGAAGATCTTATAATAAGTAGTTCCAGAGTTTACCCCGTACCTACAAAGATTTTCATTTCACATTTATATAGTTAGATAGATAATAGTATTGGTAACGTTTAAAGCTGTTGAATTTTAGATTCACTATCTATTCATCTCCAGAATAGTCTAAAATTATCTTTTATATACTTAGTGCATATACTTTGTACTTAATTTGATATGTATAAAAGTACTTAAGAAGAAAATTGGAAGATGATATGTAATTTTTAAAAGCAACAGGCCTCTACAATTTAATTTAAAAATATGTAAACTATCCGTATATACAATCTAACCTCAATTTCTATCTTTAATGTTGTACTCTAAAAAAAAAAGTTCTTAAGTATGTATAAATGTATAATAATATATCGTAGATCGAGTTTTTCAGTATCAAATATATAATATGTATATTCAAGAATTAAAATTATATGCAAGATAATATGTCTAATTTATTATTATCTATACAATTTTTAATAATTAATATCATAAATTAAAATAAACATTTTATTATTTAATTTTATATATATAGCATTTGCCATTAGACTGCACAAGAATCGCAGTTGTATACTATGTCAGAAGAGAAGTGTTGCGTACAATGTATATTATAGACTACTATTATAATATCCCAGTATGTCTTAGTCTGTGGGATAAGTATAACCAAAACTAATAACTTTATTTTTCAATAATTTTATTTTCACAATACAAATCATCTAATACATCGGGTAATGTTTTTGTTTGAAATAACTGTTTAAAAAACTGTAATGATTTCTTGGGATATCTAGAACGATTCTTGTCATTGAAATCAACTCTGTATATTCCAAATTTTGCCCTATAAAATAAAAGTATTCATTCAGATATTTTTTCAAGTATTAAAATTTTTTTTAACTAGTTAATTATTATAAATCTAGCTCAACAATTACAATACG